AGCGCGTCCGGGAAGACGCGAGGAGCGAAGAACTGCAAGGAAAAAACGAAATTACACTGGGGAAAAGTTAGTATCTGTAACTCAAAACACGTTCGCACAGTTGGAATGCACGTGTTTATAAGAACAGATGTTAGATACAATGACCAGAGGCTTGAGTAAGGTAGTTGTCGGTGCAGTTATGTTATAAACGTCCACGTTGTTTCAGAAAACTTAATATCGACTTGGGCATTTTTTTCACTGTTTGCACCTATAGAAATATGTTGGATGCAAACACGTATTTTTCTCAATAATATATGACCTAATGCCAAAAATCATACATTTTGTCTGTAAATTTAATTTATGATTTATTTAGATTCTCACTCTTCGCGCAATGAACATTAATTTACAGTTTACGTAATTTTGTTTAATTTCCCTATGACTTTACGGAAGAGATGCGTCATTTCTTTGCAAGTACAGGAATTCTGTCTAGAACTTGATTATACTTTGATGTTTTACTTGTATGACGTAACCCAATCGAGAAAGATTGCTATGCTAGGACGTATATTAGGCGGCAAGTGCATCCCGATATATTTGTGAATGTCATACTCTTTATTACGATGCCAGTTCCTAAGCCATCATTCACCCCTAAAGCGAACGAGCAATTTTTACGGAATGGTGATTTCGAAAATATGTTCTCAATGATGATATAATATATCACGAGACAGGGAGATGAAAGAAACCCAACTTCATTTCTGCATGAATACACCCTAATTTGAACCCCAGTGCCCAGAATTGGAACGAACGAATGTGGTCTTCACATTACACCACGCGTCGCTCGCATAAATGTTACATGATTCTTTATTATGATGCCAGTGCCCAAGTCTTATACCTGGAATGGATGAAGAACTTGGTTGTACAGATCGTTATGAAGATATAATATGAACGATGGGGTCAAGGTAGAATGAGAGGGAGGGGAAACGAGAGAACGAAAAAATCTGTCGCGAATCCATTTTTTCCGCCACACATTCCTCGTGGATCGACCGGGAATTCAATCCTGATCACAGAGGTGGAAAAAAGAGCTCTCTGACTGCTTCATCACGAGCTTCCCAGAGAATGTTGATTTTGACCAATCATTTTTATTGCAAAATTCGAGCAATTCTTAAATCAAATTTCATTATTTACATTATTTAACCATACTTAAAATTGGTTAGAATTATTAAAAAAATTGGAAAACAATTTGCTATCGAATTTCTCAAATAAAAAAACGCTACAAACTATACCAACAAACGAAAAACATCCTTTCACATTTTTCATAAGGTTTTCAAGAAATGCATATTCTTGAAACAAAAGAAAGTTGTTCCTTGTTCCACCCCAATTACTCAAAAATTCACCTCGATAAAAATACTGTACGCGAGGAGTCTTCATAATGCCACGCTCAGGAATTTATGAAACTCTTACCTCCAGAAAACGCACCCAAGGCGACAAAACCAGTGAGACACAACCAGCGGTGGTTCATAAGCTGCCTAATCAGCACTAAACCAAAAACAGTGAAGCCGTGGCCAGAGAGCGGAGCGTAAGGCAGGCGTGGGGCTGCCACAAAACGTCCTACTCCGCCCCCAAGGCGCCCGCCCCGGCGGAAACCCTAGCCGCCCTTCTAATGAGCCGCGCGGCCCGCAGCGCGCAGAGATGGCGCTTTAATGACCTGCGCGCGGGGCTATTCTTGGGCGGATGGAGAGGCGCCCGCCCGCCCGCACGGCCACCCACGCTCTGTCGCCAGAGCCTTGTGCAATTCTAAAAGACGGCTCGGGCGCCGTTGTGGAATTGCACAGGGAACATTACAGACTGTTTAAAAGTTTTTTTTGAGATCCACATCTGAATGGGACTTTTTGGCCCCCCTGACTGAGCCAAGTCAGCATAGACGCTAACACGTTTGAAAACATGTTTTTATTTCTGTAAAAATATGCACAATTTTTAATATTTCATTATTCGAAAAGTTTTAAATATAATGATATCACTAATTGAATTTTGGAGAAAACACTAATCTCAGAAGGCGTTTTTTGCCCAAATTCCCTTGCGCTTCCGAGAAAATGTTAAGAAAGTCCCATGACTAGCATCCGGACAATAATGTAATTTTCCTCCCACCGCCATCACTGTCACATATTTATTTACTGCTTATGAGGTAAATGCATTTATTAATATTGAGAAACCAAATAATTAATTTATTTTGTGAGTGTGGCTAGTGAGTAAAAATGAAACACGAATTGTGTTAACACAGTCCATAAAATACGTTTAACTAGAAAAGCATTCCCGACATATATAACCTTCCATTTCGCTCACTGGACCACTTAAAATGTTTTACAGCACCTAACTGACGTCATTAACAGCTGTGTCTCTTTATCAAAACACTGTATTGAAATGTTTGTTGGTAAAGTTCAGGCTCACTTCGTAGGGATGAAGCTTTACGCATCTGGTTTTAAGAAAATGGCATTGACGATCACTTCATGGCTACCTTGCTATGATTATTGCAGCCAGGTACCTTTTCGTCTCTTTTTTTCTCTCCCAGAAGTTCATCGCAGAATTTCAGTCTAACGGTTCATCACGCCACAAAATCCACGAATATTGCCAGTAATTTAGTAAGTTTTGATGTTCACTCCTTTCCTAAAAGTTCACCATTACACTTTGTCTCATTCCTTCTATTAGTCTTTCAGCTTTTTGCCTTCTGGAAAAAAAAATCTCCTCCCAATTAACTCTGACTTCACGACATTGATATACAATGCATCATATTATCAAAAATATACGTAATGCACAGTTTTGCGTGACATAGCTTTCAAGCAGATAAACAAGTAGGTCACCAGACGAAAACACAACAGTTTAAAATATTCAATGCATTCCATAAAAGAAAAGGCAACGCCACAACAATGCCAAAGGCGCCCGAGGCAACACGCACCTCACGTTCCAGGTCTCCCCGGATGACATAGGGTTGCGCACGCCAAGCCCCTAGCTCCCTGCCTCGCCTCACCGAGAGAGCTTGGGTCTTCATGCACTCAGGGCAGAGAGCTCTATTCTCGCGCATCCCCATTCCCAGCACGGGGCGGAGTCACGCTCCGCATCTCGCGACTCGTGCGTCTAGACGTGCTCCTCACCCACACCCCGCCACGCCCCGCAACGCCGGGCCATCGACGTCCGGCTAGTCACGGACATCGCGGCTCCTCACGCCTGCTCTTGTGTTCCGTCACATTTTCTTCCCCGCGGCTGCGTCTCCGCCAATCCGCATTCAGTTCCGCATCTCGTGACCCGCACGGCTACCACTAGTCCTGCTATTGCGCTCCACCGCCGCGCTGTCACCCTGCGAGTCGTTAGCGCCACGACCCCNNNGGGTCGCTGCCACGGACAAGGTCGCGCTAGGTCAAGGCGAGAAATCGATTGGGCCACCGGTTGCGAAAATGTACAGCAGCGGCCGAGTCCTCGCGCCTGAAATGCGATGGCGTTTCCTGATACAGATACAACTTTTCATTGACGTCTCATCGCTTAGTCTGAAATTAAACTTCAATTAATGGAAGGGCATTCTTTACTTTTTATGCTTTAATCGTGTTAGAAAGTAGTTAAATCATTAAATATATTTATTCAATAGATGACCGTCCTTTGGCCAACACACATTTGCACGGGTGATGAACGTGATACAATCAAAAATGTTTCGTTGCACAGAGATAAATGTTTAGTTCATAAAATATCTAATGTAGTAGATTAAACCAAACGGTATAGTACTTTTTGGAAGAACAAAGTGTTTAGTCACGTTCACGAAACTGCTGTTTAGTTAAACACACTAATGCACGAGTAGTAATATGCACTAAACAGGTCGTACCGATGACGAATGGCATCTTGTGGAGATCACTAAACGAATCGTACAGTTGAATAATACATTGAGCAATGTTTACTAAATACGTTGCAGTGAAAATAACTAAACGAAACGTGCAAAGGAAATACATTTTTTTATATTCCTTGAGGCAACTGGGATTACGAAGCAGTCACCCATCCTACTGCCCCGGGGTCTGGGACTTCCTTAATCTCCATTATCTGACAAGACTCTAGCCAGCAGAACAGTTACGATGGCAGGCTGCTGACGGTATTTCTGCCGTTAGTTTAGAATATAACATACTAATTATTTAAAATCAATAAAATACTAAACACGCCATTTATATAGCGTATACTTCTATGTAGAGCGTTGAATTCTCACACTTCACATGGGCAACCTTTCGAATTGATCAGATGGCTGAGAACGTGCGCTTACTAAACAGTGTTTAGTAGTGTGACGACATGAAACGTTGATTTCATCGAATGATTTTATCTACGAAACAAGTATTGAGCCACTGACAATTCTCTTTGTGCATTTACTTACGATTTTGAATTGTATGATTAACTAAACGGAACTAAATCATGTCTACTGAATATTATTACAGGAATAATTGTATTTACTACGTGATTGCTTACTAAACATGTTTGGTACATTCTACTACATTTCTCTCAGTGTGAGATAAAAATACGATATTTTTTTTGCAATTAAACTTACGTCATTTGCTTTTAAAAGTACATTTCACGAGATAACATTTAATAAAAATGACATTCAAGGGAAGTCGGAATCCCACTTTTGGTTTATGTTGCAATGATCTATAATGATTATGCAATGCAATGACTCGCACTAAACGTCCCAATGCACACTCAAAATATATTTAATCCAAATTTTATAAATATAAGTGATAGTCAAATTCGACACTATCGAAGAATATTAACAAAATTACTTTCTTAACTATACAATGTACTCTGTAGTCACTTGTGTAAATAAGTTGACATATTGATTGTAAAGTCTTTTTACAGGAGTGAAATTAACTTCATTTACGTGATGAAACATTGTTGTGTTGCAGGACCTATCAACAGACAAGCTGGTGGTCACAACACACTACGCCCTGACATACGCAACCAGTCGTACACGGAGCAGAACGGTAAGTCTACTCTGCAGGCGCAAACACGTTCCTGCACTACAAGGCTAACTCAACTCTCTCTTGTAGTCCTGCCGCAACGGGCTAGTATATTAAACATTGAGTACCTACCAGAACCTACATGACTACTTAATTACTAGACTATAACTAATTTGAAGAAATTTCGAAAAAGAGATTTTAAAGAAATTGACAAAGTTGATTATAAAATCAAAGGACAGTATATTCACATTTTACGTGCTTTCATGAAACACAACTCAAATTTAAATTCAAATATCGTTACAAAGTTTAAAAATTCCTCTACTATGATAAATATATACTAAGACATAATTAAGAACGTAAAAATTTCAAATGCAGACCGGTTTTCTCTCGCGTTTGAGTTCACCTTAATTGTACTTTCAAATCTTACTACAGTCCTGGTTGACATTCAGTTTGTATCATAGTAGATTTCACATTAATCGAATTTGAACTTAATTGACTATATGACATTGTAGCGTAATCACATCGGAATCTGATTGAATTTAAAAAAATCAGAAGACAGGCCAGTTCAGTGGAAAAGTATATTAGAAAAGCTTCTTTTTCTACTCGCTAGCGAATGCAGGCCACTGACAAGCACCGTTTTGGTCACGGGACTTCGTCCAGCACTCGCGACCGTCAACCAAAATGGCCCGGTTGCCTCCCCAGCAGGGCAAACAGCTATTGAAATAGCACGCCATTTTACACCATTGTCAAGCAATTATTTATGCAAGAATACACGCCCGCAGGAAAATAACGTAAACATGGGACCCTGTGCGGTACGTAATTTTCGACGTTGTTGCGGGACTCCACGCAAATTACCTTTGGGAATTGCCGGCGCGGATCAAATACACAATGCAGAACCGCTGCTCGACCCGGAATGCGTTTTCGCTTGCAGAAAAAAATTAAAATCCAATAACTGGGCGGCCTCTGTTCCCACACGTTAAAAACAATGCTCCGTTGTTATCGGCGGCTTCGCAGATTCGACGGGCTATCTGAATGCGTTCCAGACGAATGCCCTGCGTTCTAAAGGTCTATTTATAATCGATATTTTGATGTAACTTTGATACGTCAATGAAAAATAACACTGAACCTTTCATATTTTCTTTCCAAGAAATGGAGTAAAAATGTTATTTTAGTGCCAGACAACGTAGAAAAATTAGAAATCATATGCTTTACAAGTTTGCTTTCTGCAAGTCTTTGTTTTTTCATGTTGTTTCATATATTATTTTGTACTAAAATGCATACATTCTTTACATAAATTGACATATGTAGTGCAGATTTCACCGAAGTTGATCACTAGCTTTGACGGACGTCAAACAACCGCCTGCTCGTCGAACGCTATATTTGTGTTTCACTAAGGTCGTTTCGAGTGACGATTTCTTCAAATTTTGACGGACCGGTACCTGCCAGCAACGCATTTGAGCACACGTTACACTCCTGCTGTACGGTTACGGTTTACGAAATGCTTACATTTAATTGTCTATTTTATTCTTTTGATCTTAAAGTTGCGTGTTTGATAATTTGAAGGTAATTTTGATGCTGAACTTTTGTATATTGAGTATTTAGAAACCATGGGTCCAAGACGAGCAATTACTAAAAAAAATGTTATGAATAAGACGATGGTCAATTAGTATGATGGTAACCAAACACAAAATGTAGAAAGCATTAGTGGTTTTAGAAGAAATAGAACTGCATCTGGCACACCCCACAACCAGAAAAATGTATCTAAAGCCCATGCAGCACTTGTACTCAGTTTTAAGATTTCATGCTAGAGGACCTTTCCATCTCGTGATCGGTGATTGCAATGAAGTTTTGTCATCCAAAGAGATGAACGAACGCAACTAAAAAACGATGATTTTGCAATTGCCTCATTGCGGTCGCTACTAGCGATTTTTACATGGGGCGCCAAAGTCTCAGCAATAAGGCATTCTTTATTAAAATTGCGGATTATCATATTGTTTTGAGGATTATAAACTCCATTCATGTGCCAACTTTTCCCTTCGGGAGGAAATTAATCAGAATAATTCAGAAACCGAAACATATCCAAACAATGCCGACCCACTAGTAGTACCCCAAATAGTATCTAATACGTTATCGGCATTCAGCGGCTGTGTTAAAAACCGACGCACGTTCCTTGACGAATCGGCAAAGTTAACGAAGAGTCATTTCAACCTTAAATGAGCCGGTGAAAGGAAATGGGAACGCAAAACAACTGACATTCATCAAAATGACGACCGTCAAAACCGATTTGACGAAGGCGACATTAGTGGCGAGTCTCCAACGAATGGATTTCACTGATAGTGTTTTGTAATAGAAATGTTCACATTTCCAATCCCTACACCACTTTGAAGTGAAAGTTCACCTGGAATCACTATAAACAAGCTATCATGAACACAAATCTCTTTATATAAATTACCTCATAACACTATGCACAGTAAATATCGTTGATGCACAGGTAACGTGTAGAGCACACAAAAATATATGAATATTGGGATCATAAATTCCCGGACTCATTTAATCCGATCACGTAATATTTTACATATAATGTGAACTTAATACTCGTAGATTCATTAGTTCGTTTTAATTATGTGATATAATATTTATAATTAATGTATTTTATTAATCAGGGACACAAAAAACTTATTTTAATGTAACTGTTTAAAGGCATTTCACAGTTCATAAAGATTCCTTTTAAAGTCCTTTTATAGTGGAAGAGAGTATGGAACGCATTGGTTAACAAAATAAACATCAACCAATACTTTCAGATGATTTCGATGCAGAACTACCCTATGGCTCATTGCTCGTTTTAAAAACTGTTTAAAATCACCTTTCCTGCATAGTACAACTTCTTTAGAAGTGGTACCATGCATGAAAGGTGATTTCCTCTGACTTACAGTATAATCATTTTTAATTTAGCACTGCTCTGCATCAAGTGATAATCTAATAATTATTTAACAAAACATTTGTTACGGTCTCAGAAAACCAACGGCGAAAAATTGAGAGAACGACGAACGTAAAATCCTCAGCCTGAGTTTGGACTATTTGGCGCCGACCCCGCCAGTGTGCCTCGCCGCTCTCTTGAGAGAGCCGGTGAGCGGGAGGAGGACGAGACTCGCGTGTCGTGACAGGAAGCCCAGCACACAAACGCCAGGCGAAAATAAAAGTTCGCGTCTTCAGAGTCCGGTTTATCGCGAAGGCGGCGGGCGAGGCGACGAGCGGGCAGGCGGGCGGCAACACCGCGATGTGGGAACCCCCGAGACGCCGCTAGTATTCCCGCCTCGCAGCTCGGTTTCGCTCTGAACCGGAATGAAGCTCACTCTGTGCCGCCGAGCGCCGTGATGACACGCGCAAGCAGGGCCTCCGCGCGTAAGTAAACTATGATAGGAAGATAGTTCAGTTGGGATAAGGTCAGTAACAAAGCACATTAAAGAATAAAACCGAGCATTGAATGAGCCTTTCTGAGCGCTTCTTTATAACTCTTTAACAACTGCATGCAACCTCGCAAGAACCATGCTAAAATACAATAATGCAACAGATCTGGAAAAATCACACCTCGAAATTACTGTCTGCGAGTGTTACAAATAATGATTCTTCAGCATGAATTGAATTACGACGTCTTTGGCAACAAACAATACTCAACTGTTTTTACTTCAATCTTCATATTTAATATTTTTTTCTGATGGAATCAAGTACATTTAAGATTGAATTGAATTGATGCCTTATTTTACGTGGCGAGACCATCAAGCCCGCTCTTCCATCTGACCATGCAAAGTTAGCCTCCGTTCACCCACTAGCGAAGAAAGGAAGTATTTCTTGGGCGACGAAACAGGCGATTTGAATTTGGCTCAGAGGCTTCACTTCGGCTTCAGGATCTTTTACATGCAAGTAATCTACTAACATGGGACAGCCGGCTTTACTTCCCCTCCGAAGGAAGGCATACGAAGGATTTTTTCGCCCTTAAAAATGCACGGTTTCGGTAGAGTTTGAATCCGATACGCTAACGATTACACAATCACCACCGCCAGATTCGTAATGAACATTCTCCATGATAATTCGTAGTATCATTTAATCACTATTGTATATGCCATTTTGAAAACATTAACAAAATACGTTCGTATAGCAAAGTATGGAAATAATCAGAAATACAGAATTGTGATTATCTTAGGACTTAAATTAAAAACTTTATATTAATACCAATTTCACATTATCATGAGTTTTCCAGTTAAAATGTGTTTCGTAAATACGTCGAGGTGCACTTAAAGATTTGTTTCGGCCCCTTGCAATAACTCTCACTTCCATTTCAAGACAAACGCAAAATGAACCTACTTCCATAAGCGGAGAAGGCGAATGGAGCAAACATAGTGTCGCCGGTTCGCTGCTTCAGAGCGGCTGACGACACCGCCGGTTTCCCACACCGTATGAGCTTTCTGAAACGTAATTGCGGCGCAGTGCAGCGCACGCAGCCGCACGGAAGAAACGCATGTCGCAATGCGCGCATTACGACGGAAGGCGGCGCTTTCTCTACGATGGGCGTTTTTAAATAACAAATAAGGAAAACAGCTTCGAGATAGTTACGGTCCATGACTGCTACCAACACAGAGGGAGACAAAGGGAGAGAGAGATAGGGAGAGAGAGCAAGAGAGTAAAAGAGAAAAGCCAGAGAGAGAGAGAGAGAGAGAGAGAGAGAGAGAGAGAGAGAGAGAAGGAAAGAGAAAAAGAGAAAGAGGTCAACTATTTAAACTCATAAAACAAGATATTAAAATTGAAGCAATACATTTTAGTTCTGATGTGAATTTAATTAAAATGATTAAACACGAGAGTAATTCGATGTTGTGAACTAATGGTAAATAATGATCAATATATCTGGTTTCCGGAACCAATTCAGAGAATACAATTAACGACAAATGAATGTTGAATAATGATTCTCATTAAACACTGAATGTTAGGGAGAAGTTATATTTATTCATGATACACAAACGGCTAACTTTAATATTGAACATATAGAATGTACCTAAAATTCGACTTTGGCTACTTTGAAATAAATACATTAATACTTTCATTTTAACACGTAAGAAATTCCCTTCATTGCAAATAGCATTAGCAAATTACATCGCGACTCAAGGATTTATAAAAAATCACTATGCACAAGTAGAATTTATTATGAATGTTTCCAAAAGACATTTATAAAATCAAGTAAATCTATTAAAGAAACATATAAAACAAAAAGATAGATATTGCAATTGTATCATACCAATTTATTATAAAACGAGGTAATATCATTTCTTTCTGGAAATAATTTCGTGCAATTCGTGGTATTTGTACAACGAAAATGAATTCAAAATGTTTTGTTTATTTCCTATAATACTAATTTAGCAACAAGAAGTAGAAAATAGCAGGCCACATTCCTAGAAAGTTAAAAAGAGCATTCGCCAATTACATGAACAATTAAAGAAACAATTATCATTAGCCGAATCATTCAACTGACATATTTTCTTTTGATGTTTGTATTAAAAGTTCACAATTTCTTTCACAACAGAACTGCTGGATCTGTTTCCAAACGCTTTCCTTATTGTTTTTCACTATTTTTGGCATAGAATTTGTTATTTTCTTGTCTACTTCTCCAAATGAGTTTCGCCAAAAATACGTCTTTGCATTATTGTATGAAAATAAACTACAAGAATTAATGTAGTTTATTCGCAGAGAAAATGTTTTTTATTCATGAAAAAACGCACATTTAGTGTAAATTACACTCACTTTGATTTTTTGTTGCCGATAGGAAGCCTGGAATATTTGAAGTTTGAATTGTTTGTTTCTTATCATTAGACAACATACGAATGTATAGTAACCAATTTAAGTGACGTGTGTTCATACTAATTCAATTGTATGATTGGACACGTTTGTTGCCCCCCCCCCCTAGCCAACAATGTGTGTCCGGGAGTCATTAATTCCATGATATTTCTATCTTCGCCACTTTCACCTTTCCGGCTACAAGTCGGAAACTACTACCTACGGAGTAAGGGCGGAGTGTAGGATTTTTTGAAACGAAGTGGCGCCGCGTGTGGTTGCAGTGTGCGTCAACGACGACGTGCTGTACCAGCCCGGCGACCTCATGCCTGCGCCCACTCCGTGCGCGCGCTGCGTGTGCAGCCCGCCCGGCAGCCTGTGCACGCCCGTCGCCTGCGAGAAGAAGCCTGGCTGCAAGGCGCTGCAGAGGCCCAACCAGTGCTGCCCCGAGTACCAGTGCGGTGAGTGTTACTGCCCACGCTCGCCATGCAAGAATGCGTCTCTTTTGCGTGGGGAAATTAAATAAAGGTTAGGAACTTGTTGGAGAGATTAATATCCCTCCTTAACTGTGACGGATTTGTCGTGGTATCGATTATTTATTGAATGAAAGTACTTGGGGACCACATGTCTGTCATTGTTTCGGCGAAATACATTTATAAAATATTTCGAAACAAGGGAGATACAAAAATATTTTTAAGATACAAAACGACACTAATTAAATTTGTAAGTAACTCCGTACAATGCAAATTGATTATATTACAAAAATAATATTTATTTTTATATTGACAAAATTGTTAAATATAGTTGTGAGTACACAAACCGGATATTACCCGCTATGAAGTCATTTCTGGCGGAAATCGACAATCAGTGGATTCTGAAGTGTCGTCGGAACGGATAGACGGAACGTCGTGGATTCGGAAGAGTGAACGGATGGTCCCAGAGTGGTCGGGAGGGTGGAGAAAAGAGAAAAATAAGGAGATCAAACTTCTAAGAATGAGTGTTGATGAGGGTGTGACAGAGTTGTATATGCGTGTAAAAAACATGAAGACGTGCAGCGTATATTTCTTATTTCTTCAAATTGACTGACTGACTTTTTTCAAATGAGTAGGAGAGCATTAGACTTTCTTCAGTATGTTTTTATGCATACGTTTTTGTTAGTGAGATTACATAAAAAACGTTTCTGTATTGTACTAAACTTGATATCAGAATTAAAAATTAAAACTTTAAAGGAGAATAGTTCGCAAAGGAAAATTTTAGAGAGTAGTTCGCAACAAATTCTCACACGTAACCAACCATTAACGATTATTATTTGAATGAAGAGGTTTCATCTTTTTCCACTTTGATTTAGCACACGTTTTGCAACAGTGAAGCAGCCAAAACTTCATCGCGTTCACGGCCATCAACACGCTTGCACACCGCTAAGAGCTCATTAAGCGCGATTTTGGGAGTGTTTTGGGAGCGGGGGGGGGGCGCTCTCACGAGAATGCGAGGCGCCCGAACGGCGCCTGTCGCAACGGCCGCGCTCTGTGTTGCAGAATGCGAGCGCAACGGCCGGCTGTACGCCAACGGCGAGCGCCTCGACAACGCCGACAACCCGTGCCAGGCGTGCTACTGCCAGGGCGGCGAAGTGGTGTGCACCACCGTCGAATGCTACCGCCGCGACGACTGCGAGCCGCAGTTCGTTCCGGGACGCTGCTGCCCCAAATACGACCATTGCCCGCCTCTTGGTAAGGATACAGAGAGTCAAGAATTGTTTATGATTGTTGTTGTTTTTGAGAAACAGATAGTTTGTCTGCCGTTAAACTGTAGCGTCCGACCCTGAAACTATTGCTGGTCTGTAACGCGAACTGTTCAGAACAAATGACATCAAAAGAACAAATTAGCGTAACAGACGACCAATATTCTTGCCATATATTCTTAATATACAATTATTATACTTTTTGGAAATAATTCAAAGAAGAATCTTTCGACTCTTCATTTAAAGTCAAACGTGAATTGACAATAAAGGAAATTTCATTTTCATGTAATCTACAGGTTCTGAAACCTTTTAAACAATGTACCCCTCTTACATGGCTAAAAATGGAACGGACTGGAGGCATAGGCGGATTGCCCATACATGACACGTTTTTAATATTGTCCAACTAAACTATTAGGTTATTTTTACTCGTAGTTACCCCCCCCCAAAACTATTTTATAATTACATAGTAAATATTTACAAGAATGCAAAAATATTGACCTTTATAACATTTCACACGAAAGTTGATAAATTGTTTCAGTCAGGGCAAATTAAATAAAATAGCAGCCTTTTCTTGTTTGTATGAATACTTACAAATACTACATTTTAGTTACAATTTGCTTCATTAAGTGTGATTAAAACAAATAACATTAGATTTTTAACTATGGAGTTTAACAATTGTGAATCACCAATAATTTTATTGCAATGAATGGCCAGCAAAAGTTTACTTTCCTGATGTCTGATCTTAAGTTCAAAGTTTTAAACGGATGTACGGCTCCAAACTGACCCTAGTGCGGTACTGAGATATTACAAGAGCGTAATAGAGATTTTTATTCCATATGACACTGGAAACTTCTGAATATATTTGGAATTTTCTGTGAAGTGGTTAATAAATCCACAACATTTTTTTAAATGAATTCATTCTCCCCATATCTCCCACAGGACTACTGCTTTTCACAGGAAGTACACATACTTCAGTCTGATGTAGTCCAATTCGATCTATTTTACTTTTTGAAACATTCTCTGTGATATCCATTAAATGGAAATCAACTCTATTAGAAACCCATTCACGTAAAAATGTAATAATGCTAACGTTCGATATGTCCGCAGCAATGGATGATCCCCGATACGGCGAACGGTTTACGGGAGGCGACCGCCCACAGCACACGCGCGCCACCTTCCAGCCCAACGGCGGTCTGGAAGGCGAGACGGACCCCGTCGACCCCGCCGAGGACGACCAGGCGCTGGGCGCCAGCAACGTGCAGGAGCGCGTGCACGTACCGCAGGTAGCAGTCGTCGCCACCGCCACCACGACGGCCTCTCCAGCCACCAACGCCCCCGCCTCCGCCACCGAAGCCGCGGCCGACGCAACGGACCCACCCCAGCACGACACCCCACGCGACGCAGCCATCAAGATCGAAGTCCCAGCCGTTCCCTGGACCGACGCGACGGAACCCTCGGCCACGGAGGCGACCACGCAGGCCGCGGCGCAGAACGAGGAAGGCAGCGGAGCCACTGAGACCGACGCGCCTATCAAGATAGACGAACCAGTGATCGGAATCATCGAACGTATTCACTTGGAGGGAGACGCCAACCCTGGTGCCGAAGAAACAGCCACTGCTGCGACCACCGTCGGGATGGACGCCGGTAAGGACGACGCCACAGAAGCGCAAACCGAGCAGGAGCCCATCACACGTCTCTTTATGCTTTCCAAGGAAGCCGAGCTGGATCCTACTACTGTGTCTACCGAATACACTGACTTGCCAGAGGAGATGTCCACTCTTCCGGAAACCACACCTCCGGCCAAGGAAACTACTGCAGCTGCCCAGGGAGTGGATTTGGCCACAGAAGCCCTTTTGGAAGCCACGACGAATAAAGATTCCACAACCGTGCCCGAGGCATCCACGGACAGTAGCCCCGAGTTTAAGGATTTCGACGAATGGTCTGCAAGCAAATCTTCCGAGTTCCTTCGAGACAGCGCATCCATTGGTTCATTAGGAGGCTCATCTAGTGGCAGTGAAGCTCATTCAAAGCCGGCAGCATCGTCATCGGATGAGTCCAGGTCCCAAATCCTGGCCACAAACATCAACGCTGAGACAGTAAAGCTCTCGTCGGACCAAAGCTCCGTGCCGCATTCTGAAGGATCTGCCGATTCAACAGAATCTGCTGACAGCACAGAAGAGTCCGCTACAACTGAAATCGTTTCCTCCACTGAAAACGAAAACGCAGTCAAAGCAGACGAAAACAAAAACGTCGTTCCTGGAACAAAAGTAGATGAATCAGAAAGCAAGGAAGAAATCCCACTATTACAGAAAATTAATGAAGAACAATCAAACGAGAACGTAAAAGACGATGACAAGAGCCCGTCAGAAAGCAGTGAAAAAGATAAACGTCAACCCGACATTGTTTTGGACACAGAAGCAACTGACGAAAACGGTCCTCCCATCCTGCTAATCGGCGATGAGCTAGCCAACCATCAGATGGACATAGTGGTTGCAACATCATCAACTGAAGAGGGAGAGACTGAGACCCCAAACGTCAAAGAGAAGCCAGAGCAGCGTTTGAGCCAACAGACAAGCACTAACCAACCTACAGAAGCATCTGACGTTGCAACAGACAGTGTCACCGAACAGGCAACACTTACTACGGTACAGCCTCAGGAAACGGCAAAAGAAGATCTCTCTCTGGTGGCTCAGAGATCCGGCGTCGAGGCCAGCGTGCCAGAAGACTCACGTACAGAAGAACCGGTTACCGCAACTGACGCATCGGCCACCGAAGACGCATTGGCGGAACAAACGCGCACGGAGGCAGGCAGTGGGGACGGCAGCAAGGACGCTGGAAGCAGCACGGAGAAGCTGGATGTGGCAACTGTGGCAGAGGAGATGATGATGAGCGACGACCCTTTGCCCGGGCAAGCCGCTTCCGCGGAGACTGTCCAGCGCGACGAGGATTTGGACGACATTCTGGGCAAGACGGTCGAGAAGAAGGAAGACAGCACAGATGCGGAAAGCGCCACCGTGCTGACCACTCTCTCGATTGATTCGGCAACCGAGGAACCAGTGGCAGCCAGGATGGGAGACCTAAAGACCGAATCTCCCGAGCGAGAATCTACCACTAACACGGCTAAGGAGGAAGAGGCAACGACATTTGAACCCAAATACGAAGCAACTACAGTTTCGGAAGATAACAGCTTAGATATGAAAAAGGAAGACCAAACAGAGGATAAAGTGGTCGAACGACGATCAGATAGACCTGAAGAAGTAGCTAACGAAGAAAGCACGACACAAAGTGCAGAAGATACCCCTGCCACAACCGAAAGCGTAAATACTGAAAAGACGAATCTAGACAACAATGAACATAGTGAATTGTCTGACGACGTAAATAAACGAAATGAAAATGGGGATGAAGCGAAAGACCTTGCTGATGCGCGAGCTCAGTCAACAGGAAATGAAGAAATTTCTCAAACGGATGCGAAAAGTTCTCAGACCCCCGATGAGCAATCAAAAGACACAACTACTATTGTTGCTGACGTAACAGATGTTCCTACAACACAAAATCCAGAGGCAATTAAAGCTACAAATAAAGATATTCTTGGCGAAGACGTAATGCTAGGCGATCAGCCACAAAATTCCCTTCCAGCAACCAAATTGCAAACAATTGAATCAAAAGAACAAAAGATAGAAGAGGAGAAAGAACAAAAGAAAGAAGACGACGAAATAAGGAAAGAAATGGAGGAAAACATCGAACAAAGCACGGACAACATAGATACTACAGAGAGTAGTGGAGATCCAAATCAGAATAATGAACCAGAACAGAGTACAGGAAGAAAAGAAATAGTCTTTGGCGATGAAATATCCGAATTAACCCCTAAGCCAGAAACGGGTCTGACTGAAACTGATCAAACGACAGTTCTTGAACAAAATACTGAATCTGTGCGAACGTCCGATGCTGACCCACCACAAAACCAACAAATTGAAGAGCAAGTAAACGTGGAGTTGGCAATGAACAGTGATTCGGAACAGAAAAGCGAAGTAAAAACAGAACAGCAAGAACAAGAGAAAGGGGAGCCAAGTCAAATTCTAGTCGACAGCGCCAAAACCCTTGAGCTAGATCAAGTCGATGTGAGAGCAGGTATGGACCAACAAACGTCTAGCGACGAACTTTCCACTCCACCCCCAGACACAACTAGTTCCGATGACAAGATCCAGGACGAGACAATTACTAGTCTTCCAGCGAAGAACGGCGATTCTGAGGTCTCATCAACGGACAGCCCAGTAGACGAGACAACCAATGCGCCACTCGCAGAACAGAACACTGAAATCACAGGCGTGAAAATAAATCCAGAGGTACTCGAGCTAAAGCCATCACCTGCGACGGCGACTCCTGCGACAGCGGCGGCGGCCAACGCCACCGACGCGACGACGTTCGAGCCGGACTCATCCACGCTCTCTCCGGAGTGGCTCAAGTCGGACAACGCCACCCAAGTCGACGCAGCGCAGGCCGACAAATTACAGGAGCAGAAGCAGCAGACGAAAGAGGAAGAGGCGGTGGCGGCGGTGACGGAGCAGCAGGCGCCAGCGGCAGGAGACGCGGCGAGCGATGCGACGGGAGATGCGGGCGGTAACGCGGACGGCGGCGAGCAACAGCGCGTGGAGCGCCGCGTTGACGAAACCGATAAGAAAGACTTGTTCCTCCTCGAGGACTTCTTCACCAAGCTGTACCGCCATCAGATCGCCACAGACGCGAACAAAGAACATTAAAACCCTTCGGTTAGTGCCAGTGAATTAATAATCAACTTCTCATCTCTCATCTCATTTCGTACCGAACACATGACATCGAGTCAATTATTTTCATATACTAACATTCGACAGAAATACATATCACCTACTAACGATGCATAATTACAGTATTATAGATCATCATCTCAGTGTATCATCCATACTTAGAGAGTATTTATGGTTGCATTGATAAAAAAACAAATTGAACCAGCAGTTAAAATATACTATTACTCTATGTGAGTGTATATTAAATTATAGTGGTGTTAAGCACTGGATAAAATATTTAAATTTCGTTTTGTTGTAGAGTTCATTTCATTTCGCAAAAGAAAGAAAGGATGCCTGCGGAATGGTAGAAGTCGGAGGTCGAGGTCTTGTGAGAGGAAATCTAAAGCGTTAGCCTTGTAGCGTACAGAGGCGGCGCGTGCGTCTTGTTCCGGGAGACGACGCCTTTCCCCGAACAAGACGCCGCGCCTGATATCCGTCCAGGTGAGGGAAACAACTTGGGCTGTGTTGTTATTTATGTTGCTCGCGTCTCGGCGGGCGAGCGTTCTCTTCTTCCTCGAGATGGACTTCAGCCCTGGAGAGCGCTCGTGGACGCGGCCCTCGACGCCGCTGCCCAGCCCTCTCGAAGGGCGCGCGCACGCACGCACGCGCGCGCGCACGCACGCACGCACCGATGCGCCCAATCGGCGCTGTGCTCTTCTCTCCAGGGCTGAACGTAATCTCTCCCCCCCCATTTAGTGATGTATGATAATTATATGCTTCCAATGATTTGAATAAAGTGATTTTATAATACGTTACTGTTCTTTAATCAATCCCGTATTTCCAACTAACAACTGAAACATATTATCCTCTAGTTCCTGCCTAATATGAGTGTGATCTACTAGTGTCTGACGACGCAATCGTAAAATTTGTTTACATCAAAAAATAATTTCACAAATGCCTTGAAGGGTCAAACAAATTAGTATTTACGCGAAAAAATAAAAATAAATATTTTGTTTCATTCAAGTTACAAGATATTAGTTTCATTTGAAATGCTGTAGCATGTTGCAAGCAATGTAAAAAAATGTTGATTACATCATTTTCTATCACTTTCATGTCTGTGCGTTTTACAAGAAAATCGTCGAAGTATAAGTTAAACTTACTAAGACCAAAATTCGTGTTTCGAAATACATCAAGTTAAAGTGGATTCTATCAATGTATATCAGCAATATATTTTGATAATATCTAAACAATATCCTCTTCCATACATATTTCATTACATAAGACTGCGTTTAAGAAAGAAAAAAGTCAAAAGTTGTATTTTTACGGTATAATTTCACTATTCACATGTTTAAAAATTGAAACAATCGATCATTTACGACACATCAGGTCACGTCATCAGGGATTTCACTAATCGAAAGAAGGAAAAATGTGTATTAGCTATGTAAATAACGTTTGAAAAATTCAAAAATAAACTAAGTTAGAAAAAAATAAGTAATGACTTCACAAGTATATCGACAAAATATTCACAATGTAATTAGTAGTTAAAATCCGATGAATTTGAGGCGAAAAATAAAAATTTACCAACTTTAAAATGATATTCAATACATGAATATGGATGACAAAAATAAGTTACAAGAAAGACAGAATTAGGTATTCTTATTACACGTACACAACGAGGTTTACTCTGACCGGAAAGTCTAAATATTTTACATCAGTAGTTAGAGCAATAGATTGGGGAAGGTCAAAATAAGGTTAATACTTACTTAAATAGAACATACTTAAATAAAACTTGGAATACAGGTCGTTTGTCAAATAAACGCAGATGTCATTTCTCATTAATACGATGCGGGGACTGCAATATGCATAAACATAAATAACTTGGTATTTGAAAATATCTACCGCAATATGTACAGATACAATATTAATTTTATGCCCTCCAGAGCCATGTCTTACAACAAACAACTCAGATTATCAAGCCATTCTAAAATGTAATTCTTAATGTCTTTAAAAGTGTAAGAATCGTCGATTTTGTCGCATAAAAATAAGCATATTTGGAATCAAATATTGTAAAATTATTTAATGAAAATGAATTACAGGTTGACAATATGTATGATTCTTCAGTGTGTGAAAAGTGGCATAAAGTTCTATTTCTACGTCGATTAAAACTAAAGCAATGTATTCCTTCAGTAAAATTATACTTTTAAAACAAAACAATAAACTCATAAACCAATGTAACACATTATTAAAAAGAAAAACCTGCTATTTGGGGTCATTTTCTTCTCCCCATTGTCGTAGTACTAAAGACGTAGGCTAACTCATTAGAGAAACCTAGCAACCACCTTCAACACCACAGTAACAAATGGAGAAAAAATAAAGTCGTTTCATGCATTTCGAAATAACACCTATTTCTGAACAGTGCTGTTTGCACTTTACCTCGTTTACGGAACCCTGGGACTAGTTGACACGAAGGAAGAAATTCACACCAATAAACCAGTAAGTTCAGGAGGATCATTTACCCCCGCAAGGATGTCGCCTCCCAGCGCCGACGCGAGCTGCTGCTGCTGCGCGTCACAACGACCGGCGCGCGGCGCCCCGGCGCCACCCCGCGGAGATAACAAGGCGCTGTAAAGTGATAGCGGCGTCCCTCAGGGCGCGCGCCCGGGACGGGGCGGAGCGGGGTGCAGGCGCGGTAGGGGAACGGGGTGGGGGGTAGGGCAGGGCGGGGCAGGGCTGTAAAGGCGAGAAGCCGCTCAAAGGCAGGGAGTGGCTTGAGGCGCCCCGCCACGCGCTGCGCCTCGGCGATAGCCACGCCCGGGCGCACACGGACGACCAAGAGGCGGCGCGGGGCGCGCGCGGTGGCGTTGTGGAGCTGGCCAGGTAAAAACCAAACGGTGGCGGCGGAGGCGGCGGCGGCGCGGACCGCCGCGGGCGCACGCGATGCGAGTGCGGCGACCCGCGAGAGGCGACGCGACCGTCGAACGCGACGTGGCGCGACGGGGCGCGAGGTGGACGAGAACTGGCGGCGAGTAGGCGGCGACGGAACAAAGGTCGTGAAAGAGTAGAGGGAAGAACAGTGGATTAAGTGATTCAGATGAGCGCGGTGTTGGCCACTAAGAGGGAGAGATTGGAGAGAACGGATGGTGATCACTAGGGTGGTGTCGGATTTCGGATACTCGGGCGTTTAGTACACAAAAAAATCCCCAACTGTGCAATTAATGGAGAGGTGACATCAATGACATTATCTGGAGGTTTTCAAATATTACTTCAAAAATATCAATTGAAAAGGAAATTAAGCATCTTTATTCTTCACATAATATGGAGCAACAAAAATGTATTTAGGAATATCGCCAGTGTTTATTTAAATTATCTTACCCTTATATATTATTTACCATTACTCGTTTACCTTCGTAAGAGAAACTTAAATCTTTTTGGGGGTTTTGTAACATAATATTTCTTACAGGAAAAAAGTTTCCAAAAATGACACTTTAAAAAACAAGAAACGACAAAAACTAGGAACGTATGGTTATTTAAATATATATTATCAACTAGCAATCAATTAAGATACTTGTGGAACGCCAGTAAATCGTGACCCACAATTTTGACAAAAAACAGTCAGCAATACCAACATTCTTTGTGATTTTTGCAAATAAGGACTCGATTGTTACGACGATGTAAAAAACGAAGTTTGTGTCGCCAATGGATAGAAAAAAGCGGAAAGTAATAATTAAAGTTGGCCTCACCAGAGTTCTCTGGTAACTGAAAGCAGTTTGCTGCCACCTGGCGGAAGACAGTGGAAGCACTTTACTGAAGGTACGAGAGTTTCCCACTGCGATGTCTTACTGCTGGATCTCAAGTAGTCCTTCAGAAGCTAAATCTGAACTTTTCTTCATTAATGAACTAAAACTTGAATTAAACGTCTAAATTTAAATTTTTGATCAAAAACATTTCTTCATTAATTTATAACAATCGATTAAGCATTGAGTAAGAAATCACCTACTTCAAGTTAAACATTCAATGATTTGATCAAATACTCCATGTTGCCAATACTCTTCATTGAGAGACGCAGGTAAAAACACTTAACAAATACACATCAAAATATATTACACAAATCTCAAGTATAGATAAAATTACAAATAATATAGGCCATTCCACTGTAAGACAACATTGTTTTATAATGAACGCAGAATTTTTGGATTCGTTCCAAATGTGCTCGCTTTCAAATTATCAAAATGATTCCAGTACGATTCCCGTAGAAGGGCAGTATGCTGCGGTACATTTATATGCACAACGCAAGAAAATTATTCCAGTCGATTTGAGATGAACACGCTTCATGACAAATGACTCAAGAACTCATTGCCAATACTCGTTTTTGAAAACAGTGGACCCACGGGTTAGTGATTGCCACGTATAAAAGGACTACGGAAAATATTCATGCTGTTTGGGAAATGTTCCCGACTCAAATTCTTAAATTTCCAGTTATAGCGCAATTGATTCCAACAATGCGTATCAAACATTGACTACTGGTTTATTATCTCAATGCTTAACTGAGTCCAGGTGAAACAAGACAAACTCAGCATGTTTATTATGCATTTCTAAAACAAGCAAAGTGTGTAAACAGGCAATTAGAAAGTGGAACCATGTCAAAGAAATTAAAGAACAATGAAAACGAAAGAATGATCTCGAAGGACTTAATGTAACAGGAATCAATTATTAAATAAATTAGACAAAAGTATGAAACTTGAGAGACATAAATTTGGAAAATATTTTGATACACTTTCGTTTAAAATAGATTAAAACCATTTTCCCCCTCATTTGGTATTAATATTCAGGTGCCTCATTTGAAAATATTATACACTTTTGAAGCATTTAGGGAGGAGGGCCGAAGATCAAAATGGTTTGCACTCTCGGAATGGTCAAACTCGAACTGATTTTGAGTAATTCCATTACACGAAATTTCCCACCTCAAGTCACATTTTCCCCTAAATGGTAGGCAACTCTCAATTCATTCGTGTTTGGCGGGTTACGTTCGGGGCACTAAGATCTTGTGTACACAAAGCCTGATCCCGAAAAATTGATATTGTGATTTTTCCTTGTTTATAATCGCAGTAGCGTAAATAATAGTACAAGACTTGAAACTCATATTATTTATACACAAAGCTGATAAAGAAACGCCAAAAACACTGCAAAACCTTTATGAGGTGAATAATGTCAAGTGAAAACAAAGTTCATTGAAGAAGTTCAGATCGGAAGCGAGAAATCGTATACAAAGGTAGTCACTAAAAGTATTTGGGAATGTATTTAAACCATTTGCAATAAAACGTATAAGAGGAAAATTTACCCAGGAGTTATAAAATTTAATTACTTCACATCAACAATTAAACAAGGAAGTGATATTCATGAAACACAATTGAATTGAATTGAATTGAATTGCATTTGCCTTATTTTACGTGGCGAGACTCTGGCCATCAGACCCGCTCTTCCGTCTGACAATAAGCATTCTTCTCAAAGTACAAAGATTATAAAGAATTGAAAGAGGTGCTGTCTATAATATAAAAGTGAAATTTTCCACAGACGCATGTGTCAGAAAAATAATTGCTATGAGTGATTGCACCCAAATTTGGCAAGAATGGTTTTGAGCAATCAATAATCAAATATACAGCAGTTGTGATTCAAAATGTTACAACAAAATATGCAATTATTCCAAAAACAAATGAAACATTGTTTATGACTAAACGCAGCCTATGAGAGCTTACCGATCGTTAAATTT